TAAAAGTTCTCTTAGAGTAAGTTTTTTTATCTGTTCATTAACAAAAACACGAAAGACCTTTCAAATGTTCTTTTGCCTTTTAGAATGGAAAATATTTTGCCTGCATGGATGTAAACCTCCTTCCTGCTCTTTCCCTGAAAATCCAATGTCACAGTTACTCCATAACAATCAGAGAAGCACCCATACCAACACACTTTCTGAATGAGCTCTATCCTCTCAAGAACTTTACAGAGGGCCCTAAGTAAACTCTAAGCCACTCTGAGAGATGCTCATGGACAATCATTTTAAATTAAGAGCACAAAAATGCCCTCCCATCCTTCCCATTTCATGGTTGAAATGAGTGCCGACCAGCAAATCAGATGTCCTCCAGAAAAACCAAGGAGAAAACACAGTTCTCTTATATGTCTTTACAGCCCCCAACCAAATCACCAGGCTACAGAAACCTACCGCAAGGACAGGATCATAAGCAATGTCCACTGTGATGGGAAAACTCTGGGGCTCAGCTTATAAAAACTCAGTGTAGTCAAGATGCTCATAAAAAGTGTGAAATTCATGTAAATCCCTATACTGTAAAAGGCATCTGTGGAAGGATTCATGAACCATTCTCTAGTTCAGCCCTGAATCCTCTGTCCTCTGTATTCTATCTTCTATCTATCCTCTATCTGTATTCCTGTTATACTTTTGTCTAAATTAGGCACATAATTTGGCCTACAGAACCTGAGAAGCAAACTGTCAAGGATAGCAATTGAGTGGGAGGAAGACATACATCCAGTAAGAGTTAGGCTGGAATACTCAAAGTTGCCTAAAACTCAGAACAGCTAAAATATTCAAAGGGAAATAATTCAATTCATGATGAAGTCTTAGCTCCAAAGTCATTCACCAAAGAACCCTGCATAGTGTATGCCACGGGGCAAAAGACAATCTTAACTGTTCTCAAGGGAACTATGTAAAACTTAATGGGTTCCTGTAGAATCACTGGTAATACCTAGAAGTCAGAATAGAAATGCCAATCTGGCATTAGAAGAGTAGATTCCAGGTAACAGAGTAGGAAGAAAAAGAGGAGAGGTAAAAAATAACGATTGGAAATGCAGTGATGTGTGTTCATTGATTGAACAAATAAAAGACAGCCTTATAAGCTGGGTTGAGACAGAGTAGACTGTTAATATGACATTAGGGTCCAGAGAAGGCTCAGAGTGCTGAAGATTTGGCCAGGTGTGAGCACATCTATGAATACAGAACACAGGCCTATCACAGACACCATGGCCAGTTTCGTGTAACACTCATAAAAGTCCCAGTCATGAGCTGCCATGCAGACAAGGGTGGTGCTGCCACCCAGGGACATCAGAGCTCTACAAGTCAAAGAATGGACAAGTGACAGGGAATCAAGCAGTCTCTGGAATGGAGACAAAGAGTACACAGGTGTGAGTTGGGGTGGGGGACATAGACATAGGCCACAAACAGTGCTCTAAAGATGCTGTGAGGTACCTCTTGAATGAGACCTGTCCATTCAATTCACCAGCATCTACTGGACCCTGTGCTGGACACTGGAGGAAGAGAGAAAAATGGGAGGTCCCTGTCCTGTAGAGACTCATAGTCCTGTTGAAAAGACAGATTTCTAATGAGAAGATCTGTACTGAGGGGACAGCCAGGTAGCCAACAACCAGGGGACTCCATTCCATCTGGTTTAGACAAATATAGGGTGAAGAACTTCAAACCAGAAGGGGTGGGAGGCAAGGGAAGCAGCATTTACTGAGGATCCACAATGTGCTATGAGACTTGCAACATGACTGCCCCACTATATAAACTTTACAATTCTCTATTATAGATGAGGACATCAAATGAAACTTGTCCAAGGTTCCACGGCTAATTGTAGACTCCATTAATCTTCACTTGTTTGGCCCTGGAAAAGGTGTTTGACAAGCTAACCTAGTTTTCCTACTCAAGTCTCAGTGTTGTGATCATTAAACGTATGCCAAGAGTTTGGGAAAATGCTTACAGCGTTGTAGATGCTGAGTACAAGTTAAATCTACATGAATCAAACGCAATTCCATAAGCCTTGTAAATAGTAACCACACCCCGAAGCAGGGATGGACTGTCGTGTTAGATGTTTTTTCTTCTCTGGTCAGGTGGTGTTCTTGCATAGTCTTTGTGATTTGTCCATGACATAACTTTTCAGGAAAGTATCCGGCCTTTGGGGGGAACAGAAAAGCAAGGCCACCAAAAAGAGAGCATAACTCAATAAGCAACAAAATCAAAGATGCTGTTCAGTCTCATTTGTCACCTTGCCTGACCACCTGCCACAAATGCACTTGTATTTGTG